TTATTCATCATAGGCCGTAATACAAAACGCTGCAAATCCCCATGCAAAGCCGAAGCCTTAATTTAGAGAGTTAATTCAAAGAGAAACCCACAGCCTCAACCCCGAGGCTTTAGGGTTTAGGGTTTGGGGGTTTTGAGTTTAGGGTTTAAGGTGTAGGGGTTTAGGGTTTAGGGCGCCGGATCCTGAAGTTAAACCCTCAACCCTAGACTTCAAACCCAAAACCCAAGACCTCAGCCCGCAACCCTGATCCTGAACTTTCAGCCCCTACCCGATGCCCTAAATTGTATACATGCTCCCAGAGTGCCCAGATAGCTGCATTGCATGGTAGAAACTTGAGGCCCAAACGGGATCCCATTCAGGCACTTTACAGCCCAGGTGTTTCCTAAATTAAAAGGGTTTAGGGTTAGGGTTTAGGGTTGAGGGTATTCAGGTACTTTACAGCCCAGGTGAGTAGTATTTTATTTGGCGGTAGAATGGTACCCAATATAGAGTAAGATGTTATCCTCCTTTTGGGGTATAGTATTGTATATAAGGAATATTGTCTTACTAGGTTTAACCAGCAAAAAAACACTACTCAGGTGTTTCCTACATTAATAGGTGAATAGGTGGCCGCCAGAATAGAGTTGGGAGCCTTAATGACCCTGTGTGAAGTTTGCCGAGACCATTCAGCACCCCTCGATTGATTTGGGGAACCTTAACTGTGCCGAATGAAACTATGCGAATTTGCTTTCCTAATCCTAGCTGCTCAAACTAGAATGTGAAATTATAATGTTTGCCTTAAGGATCTTAAGCTTCAGGATTTCGGGTTTAACGCCTCCAAGGCCATCAATTTCTTATGAAACCGCTTATTCGAGGACGCAGGACAAACACTTTTGCAAGGGGGTAGTCCAGCAGCTGCCTGGGTCCTGAATAATACAAATGTTTCTTGGCGTTCTGAATCATCCGTTACATCCATTATTTTCGGGCCCCCAAAGGATTCCAGAAAACAAAAGCCTTGACTTTCACATTGAAATTACTTAGGGGTACTTTGCCCCTTACTCTTCTTAGAAACCAAAGAAACAGCGGAAAAGTCATATTTTTGCTGAGCCTCCAAGTTCAACATAGTTTGCTTTAGAGCAATTTCTGGGCTCCGCAGCACTCACCCTAATGAATTCCGTAGGGATCCAAGTGTACGAAAGAAGCCTACATTGGGCCCTAAACTCGGCACTATTATCCACATCAGACTATTTGGATCCCTAGGGATTTATACAACTTAAAACCGATTCCGAGCTCCGGAAGCCCTTCTCCTATTGAATTTGATTTAAACCAGACTTTCAGCTCCCTATTGAATTTAACTGTCAAGACTACGACCTGGGTTTGTTTGGGTCGCCCCGACCCTCCACTTAGAAAGGACAGATGTTTGATTGCGGTGGGGGGCGACACTAATCAGGACCAACATAACAGGCCGTAAAGCAGTAGAATCCCCTGTATAAGCAAAAGAGGAACCGCCTAAATAATCCCCTCTAACCTATACACCTCTTTAGCCCTGTACCCCCCTTCAAAGAGATCCAAACCCGATAAGCAGTATCTGGCCCTAGGGGTCCAAGTACCCAAGAATCATATACTTACCCCAAACCTGCACAGCAATTACTATTACCAAAATCCGAAGTACCTAATTATTGGGTACATGGACCCTAAACCCTATAAACCCTAATCCCTAAACCCCATATACCCCTATATATCCACCCTTAAAAGGACCCAATTATTGGGTACATGGACCCCGAGGGTGGATCGTTGGAAATTGAATCTCTGAAGGAGTTGGCGATCTATTTTGACGACATGCGAAGCGCAGCTTGGCCTTGATTTCCGGTTTAAGGTGACGGGCTTAGGGTTAGGGTTTAGGGTTTGGGGTTTGGGGTTTAGGATCTAAAGCCCTACCTGAACCCCATAAGTATGTAAGATCATGGCAATTATGGCTATCATTAGGGGTTTAGCGCTATTATTTCACACACTTTTGGGGTTCAGGTAAGCCCTAAACCCTAAACTTCAGGGGTCAACAAGACAAGAGTCCGTGGTTCAGGGGTTCAGGGCTTAGGGATCAACAGCTCCAGGACCATCATCTGACTATAACCCTAATGAGTTGTTTAGGCTAAGGGTCCAAGGACCCAAATGATAGGCTTTAGGGCTCAAACACCATTAATATTATCGTAAAAAGTCTATTATTTGGGTGTCCTTGGACCCTCAGGGTAATGGAGTCCAAATTCTAGGGGTTGGGGCAACTGAAGCCTCGTTACTCAGCATGTATAATTCTCAAATGCTTTCCCATGCTTCCAGTTCAACCTTCACTCAAGCTCCCTGATGCACTCAAAGCATTTCAAAGCCTTCACGGCAAAGTCCCTCTTTAAGAAACAAGCTCTGGGGCCCTCGCTCCTCGGGTATCTCGTCGCCATAGCTTGCAGCTCTACTCTTCACTCCTAGGTCTGGGGTGTGTAAGTAGGGTTGAGGGATAGGCCTATGGAGGGTTTAGGGTGTAGGGCTTAGAATAACTACCCCCGCCCCTGATACTAAGTGTAATCCCCCTGCAACGTGTCATGCTGTGATTACTATGTTGGGTGATAAGAGGTAAGTGAATAAGGATTATTTGGTGCTCTGTAGTGAAGGAGGCCGTGGATGCCCATAGTAAACATTCCTTGCACACGCCCCTACAATGGTCCCGAGTTTCCTATTCCCACTAAACACCCTGAATCCCCAAAGTATGTAAAATAATAGCCCTAAACCCCTAATCATAGCCATGCAGGCCATTATTTTACATACTTAACTTATGCAGTTCAGGTAAACACCCTGAATCCCCGAAGAAGTGTGTAAGTTCCCATCCCATGTTCGTCTCATTTCCTTAGTTCTCTACGAAGCATCAAGGTCGCTACTCCCACCTTGAACCTTCCATCTGAACTGAGGTCTATCCGCCCCCGAAGATGCTTTTCTGCAAGTTTGGTTAGGGTTTAGTCTGTGGGTTTTAGGGCTACAGGGATTGGGTCCTCCCTGCTCCTTGGCTTTGTGGGTGTTTTTTTGCAGGCCAAATGCATCACGCACGGATGAAGGTCTGGGGCCACTCTTTGGAATTCGATCCCATACGGTCTAGCATTTGATTCTAATCAGGGTTTAGGGATACGTCCATGATGGTGTAGCTTTTGGGAGTTAATAATGCTGATGCAAGTGCACACGTGGGGCCAGGGGACTACCCAGCAGCAAGCATGATGCCTTGTTCAGCCCTCACCCCACGCCCTACGCGTCAAACTTTACACCTCACATCCTAGATTCTAGACCCCAAACCCAACCTCAAAACTAAACCTGCATTAAGCCCCAAACCCTAAACCCCAAACTCTAACCTCTAAGCCTAATCCCAGAACCCAATACCTCTACACCCTAAACTCCATCCTGAAGCCTTCTCTGAAAAGCCAGCGGGCCTATGATTGTGGTTTTGCTTCCCCCTTATCGACTGCCACTTCGGGTGAAGATAGCCATGACTTCAGCTAACTAGGTTTTCCAGCTTAACCTCAGTGTCCCCAAGCCTGAAATCCGAAACCCTAAGAGCTAAACCCTCAGTGTCCCCAAGCCCGAAATCCTAAACCCTAAGCCTTAAACCCTAAGCCCTAAACCCCAAGGAGCGAGAACGACTCTCGGCGAGACCTCGTCGAGGTCTTCGCCCGCTTCGCCGTGCAGATCCGCCGGCACCGTGAACAGGCGACCGGCGGTGTATAGGGGTTACATGTCAATTTGGGGATCTATACAGTTCTTTTGGGTTATGTTCGGGTATACATAAATGATAGATAAATAGATACAATAAAAGGACAAATATTTGCATGTATATAGGGTTCGGGATGGTTGTATGGGTCTAGGGTTGGGTTGGTCTTTGGGGGTTCACAGATTATAGAAAGCATGGAGAAGCTAATGGAATATGGGGATTAAGGGCAAAATGGGTCATGGGCATATTTGGGCGGTACCTTAAGGGTTGTGTTACAGGTCTTATAGGGATGTATCAAGGTATACAAGGATAGAAAGGAGATAGAGGGTTCAAGACTTCTACCTGGACCAGCTGTGTGCGCGAAAAAACAGCCCCAAGCCAAACAACCTTTCAAAATAGCCCCCACCTTATGAGAATGGCCATTTCAAGGCAAAATAGCCCTCCAAAAGAAGAATAGCCACTCCCAACTAAAAATGGCCTTTTCAA